CTAGACGAAAACCGGTAAAAGACATGTTTTACTTATTTCCAAAAAATGATGCAAGAATTATTACCACTGAAACAGTGAAGGCAGTACGAAGCTTCTCCTCATTCTCCCGATGGTTTACCATTAAAGGCAGTTGCAGCCTCTCTAAAGCTTCCTCTTTCATGCTCACACAAACTATTCCAGTCCCGTGCTTCACAAAGAAAGCCATAGCCTCTGGCGTAACTTTCGAGGCTGCCATTATTAAGTCCCCTTCATTTTCTCTATCCTCATCGTCTACAACCACGACCATCTGCCAATATTGTGGTAAAAAAAAAATTGTAACCAAGACACAAATTTCCCTCAGGAAAGGAAAAAAAGAAAAGAGAAAGAAGAAAAAAACAAAACCTTTCCATGTCGAATGTCTTCAATAGCCTCTGCAATGGAAGAGAAGCCTTCGGAGGGCTGGTCGAGGTCGAATTCGTCATTTTCAGCAGGAAAGCCACTCGTGATGGGGCTCACATCAGCCGAGAGTGTTCCTAATACCACAGAGTCGGATTGTACTTCAACTCCATTCAGTGCATCATTGATAAGAATGTTGCTTGTGTCATTAAAGCCTGTTGAATGAAGGCGAAAGTCGTGTTCACCAGAGAACAAAGCTGGCTTAATTTTCCCACCGTGATTGATGCTTAATCCTACTTTAGCACTCGGCTTTCTTAAGGATTCTACACCATTCGTGTATTGCGTATTTCCACATGGGGCCCCAAAGAGTCTGAAATATTAGAATACTCAACATGAGAATAAAGTTTACTATAGGAAAATTATAACTATACTAAACTATATAGCAGCTCAAATAATCCAATGCTACGAGTAGAAACCATTCCAGCTAGCGCAATCTATCACATAAGTCAGGCTCGGGAGATTCATTTTCATTTTCATATATTCTATTGAAACCCTCATCTAGTGAAATACTCAAGATCAAGAAAAACAGAAAGAAATGCAACTTTTGTTACTTTTTGGCTATATTCCCTTAAAACCCATCACAAGTTTCTACTTCAAAGCATAGGACAATTAAGACCTCTCAAACATCCTGAGCCAGAAAAATAAAAGACATGAATGAACAGAAATGACCCGACAAAATAAGTTAAGTTAGTTCCCTTGCTGTTGCACAAGTCTGCAATTCAATTGGTATCAGCTCATCTACAGAAGACTACAGAGTACAGAATACATCTAACATAGATTTCAAATAGAATTTATCCTCTCAATTCATACAACCTCCCAAGCTAATTAAAAGAGATAAATGAGTTCCCATATGCTTTTGCATCCAAGTAATGTCAGGAAAGTTTTCCCTTTTGATTCATCCAGTGGCTAAAAGAAAGTAGCTTTGAATCACAAACCAATTGAAAAACACAGAAATGCAAAACCCTTCATTTTGGAGGCATTTTCATGAGAATGAGCAAAAAAGATTGCATCTTTTAGCCTAACTAACAAAAAGAAAACCAAATAAATAANTATTCTTTTCCGGCAACAAAGAATATTAACTAGCTTTTATTTAAGAAAAAAAACTAGTATTATTAAAATAGAAAAAAACATTATTAAAATAATATTTAAAAAGTATCATGTCTAGAAACTGAATTTCAATACACTATTCATGTATGAGACGAACTTATTAGGAGAGTTCAACTTGTTATACTAAATGAATAATGATGCTTAATAATTCTAATATCAAATTTCAGTTTAATAACTTACCAGAAAATCTCTAGTTTTATATTACATCTCCCTCTATGAAAGTTATATTAATAGATAATTTTTAGATTTGATGTGCTATGAAAATTATGTTGGGGATTTAACACGTACAATATTATAGTTCAATAATTTAAGTTAGAAAAACTTACTTGAGTATAAAACACATTTTCATCCAAAAAAAATTCACATGAAAATGCATATTGTGGTTTCACAATTTTTTATCATTTCACTTGAATAGTTACACATTTTTGGATAATTTATCATTCAGCAATAGTATTTCTTATATGGGAAGAATGTTTTCAATAAGTTATATATTATGAGACATTTTTTCTTCGAATTCCGGCTCAATAATGCTTAAATTTTGTTAGATGCATTTGTATAAATTCCTAGCTACTTATATTGTTCTGTACATTGAAGAGATTCTAAATATTTCGAGCTATGTTAATCAACTATTCTAGATCTAAACAAGTAAAATTGTATTCATTTGAAATATAAAGATTATGGGTGAATATGAGTCGGTACGGTTCGGACGTTGATAAATCTTTGAAACCATACCAAAGTTCGTAGATCACTAAAATTCAATCTCCGGAACCGTAATAAAAAATCGGTTCGGTTCGATTCAGAGATTTTTATTTTTCGGTTCGGTATCAGAACGGTTCGGTTCGGTTCGATATTCGGAGATTTCTAATTAATTTTTAATTTTTTTTGAATGACTACCTAGTTATATTTTATTTTTTATATGATTTTTTTTTTCCTTAAATCCAACATTCATCAATATTTCATCATACTAAAGATTTTATTTTTAAGTCAACTTTAGAAGTATTCTAAATTTTAGTTAAGACTAAATTTATGCAACTAACATTCAAAATTTAAAATTCATACATAATATAATATAGTTTTTTATTAAAGTAATCTATCATTATATAAAAAGAATAATCTTTTTATAAATTTACAAGTTTTTCCCGCCTAATTCATTAAATATATTCTAATCTATATATATATAAAGAGGTTGTTGGAAAAATACATTAATATAAAGTTTGACCAAATAAATATAATGTTTGACTTACTATTAATAGAAAGTTCAAAAAAACACATGTGAATCTTTAGTAACAAAATCTAAATCTTATTTTTTTGTTAACAAATTTGGAGATTCTTATGGAAAAATTTGAATCCCATATTTTTCTTATCATATTTTATTTTTTTACCAAAATTTAAATCATATCTTTTTTGGTAACAAATTTGGAGATTCTTATGCAAAAAATGTGTCAATTATTTATGAAAGCAATTCTAAATACAAATTAATTTAAAAACCGTGGAAATTGGATACAAATTTAGGAAGCAAATAGTTGTATAATTCTTAACCAATTCTTCCAATCTTATTGAATAATTTTTTCTTTCAAAAAAATTGTGTAAATTGGATAAAACCACATGCAATTTTTATTTTAAAATAAAACTGATATTTGGACGGGATGTACATTCAAAATTGTGTCCACATTTTTTGGTAACAAAAGCGGTTCATCATTGATATTTAAAGTCACCTTATCCAATTATTTAGGAAAAATTATGTACAACTTTTCAAAATTTAAATGCATCGATTTTTTTGGATTCTTATGTTTTTCTTAACCATGTTTTACCGAGATTTTGGTAAGTTCATATCATTTTATTTTTTGGTTAAGTTCATATCATTTTCTGTAGAAAAGAGACAGTTGCATAAACATTAACAATTTATTTCAATTTTTTATTAGAATTATTTTCAATTCAATTTGTTTGGTACAAAAATTGGTGCAATGTTAGGAAAATTTGGTTGCATTTTTAGGAAAAATTGATGATTTTTTTTATTTGGTTTAAAAAAAAAATCGGATCAATTTGTTTGATAAAAAAATCGGTTTCATTTCCGGGACTAACTAATGATTCTTTTCAATTCTTTTTAATTGAAATTTAGAATTAGATTTAAAATAAATAATGGGTGAAAATCCCTAAAAAAATTTACTTTTTTTTCTACTTTAATTTTGTTCCTTTAATTTTTTTAAAATTTGTGAACTAATAACTAATAATATGCAATTTTGGATAAATTCGAACACCTATGTAGTACTTTACGTGCCAAAAATCAAATCAATAATGTTGTACATAAGAAAGTGTTTAACAACATATAAATTTTATTTTCATGAAATTTTTAATTGCATGAGACAATTTAAATACAAAAATATCGTTTAAAAAATATATATATAATAAATGTTCCCGTGCATCGCACGGGCACCGTACTAGTTATAGTAATAGTGGACAACTGTAAATAATCACAATAACCGGCTCCTTAATTGCAGTGTTTTCTAAATTGTAGCTTGCACAATTAAATCGGCGTGCAACAACAAATCCGATTGGCTTTTTTTTTTTTAACTTTCCTACAAAAATATCGGAATTTTTGCACAATTAAATCGGCATGCAACAACAAATCCAATTAAATCGTGTGTAATCAAATTTTTACAAATATTATAAACTAACAATACATCCTCAATAACAACGTAAAAAATATAATAATAATTTTGAAATTGTGTGTAATCAAATTTTGTTAGATGGGAATAATGTCGGTATCATTGAATGTCTTTATCAAATTAGACTTATAATATTTCAGATACTTTAAACAAATTGTTTAGACAATTTTTTTACATATTCGTCTATATATATATATATATACATATACATAATTGATGTTAAATTTAATATTTGTAGACATGTTTTCTTTACAAAATAGTCTAGAAAATTTTTTTTTACACAATGTTAAATTCAAATATTTTTAGATATGTTTTCCTTCTAATCCGTGCATTTGAAATTGATCTTTTCTGCTTTTAAAATCGTTTCCAATTCCAATCTATACAAAGTTTATCCATAGCATAAATCTACACGAGTTTACCTCTCATCTTTTACAAAATCCCATTACATATGTCTCACAGTTTAAAAAATCTCATCATTTAAAAAATAAAATAAGCAGTTTAAAAAATCTCATCCCAGATTTAAAAAATAAAATACGACCGGCGCTGCTAATTTTCATCGGTCTAATTACTAATATTTTAGTATAATAATAATTTTGAAATTGTGTGTAATCAAATTTTGTTATATGGAACTAACGCTCATACGGTATCATCTGAATGTCTTTATTAAATTAGACTTATAATATTTTAGATACTCTAAACAAATTGTTTAGACATTTTTTTACATATTCGTCTATACATATGTATATATATACACACATATACATAATTGATGTTAAATTTAAATATTTGTAGACATGTTTTCTCTACAAAATAGTCTAAAAAAATCTTTTTTACACAATGTTAAATTCAAATATTTTTAGATATGTTTTACTTCTAAAATTGTTTAGAAAAGTTGTAGGTGACTTCACATATTTCGAAAATAATATAGAAAATTTTGAATACTTTTACATATACTAATATAATATTTTAGGTGTTTTAATATTAAACATCCAAATTTTATATTCTCTTCTACAAAATAATGCAAATATTATATTCTTTTATACAAAATAATTTTACATTGTTTGACCCCGAATATTTAATTTATAATTATTCAGTATTGTTTATCCTCCTCTTTAATTTACAATTATTATTTTCTTCATCTTTTTAAATAGGATTAATAGTAGTTTCCACTTCCGCTATTGAGTGACTCAAACTCGAGGTCTATTTATAATATTATTGATTTAATATTATTTCCGTGCATCGCACGGGGTACACACTAGTATTTCTTGAACCTTCAATACCATGTTAGTTATAAGATAAAATAAGACTAAACATCGACAAATTTAAGTAAAGTTTCAATATTTTTTTAAAAAATATTTCTTTAACCTTTCATTCCATTTTAATTGTTTTTTTTTAAACAGAAAAATTCGATTGTAGATCAAGTATTACTAGTCATGAAATTTAAGTGAAGTTTAATTGTTATTACTATATTTTATTTATATTTTAAAAATTCTCAAATTGTATATGATCAAAGTTGACATAAAATATATTAATAACATGCATCTATTTTTATAATTTGATTCTTAATTTTGGTTCTTCGGTTCGATACGGTATGAGACGATTCGGTTCTCAGTATGGATATTTGTGAAATCTCCAGAACCGTATCAATTATTTTTTTCAGTTCAGTTCAGTTCGAAGAAATTCAAACGGCTAACGATT